TTTTTTTTTTCTGATTTTGTACTTCGTCAAAATATGGGACTTAGAAAAATTTTTTTCACGTTATTAAAGAATTTTTAAAATGATAAAAAAATAAAAATAATCGCATTCGAGTGAACTCATTTCGCTGTGTATTTATTTTTGTATTATAAAAATATTATCGTAAATAGCAAAACGTTCAGTAATTCTACTTATTGAAAATTAAATCGATAATTATCGATAATTAAATCGAAAGGTATTTTTTTTTTATTTTTGGGTAGAAAAGTTGATATCAAGTTATTTATCGTTGCTATAAGTCGTTTGTAATCTTATGTGAACATAAGAGCTTATATGTATAGAGAAAAAAAATTTACTATCTCATTAGGAGCAACTAGCCAAGGCAGATCAGGGGACACTACATCACTGCAGTTAAGAGGCATTAGTCATGGTAAATACTTGGATGGGTGACCGCTAGTAAATTCATATTCTAAGCTGCGAGCGACACCATTTTTTTTTTTTTATTTCGAAGAAAATATATTTTAATGTACTTGATTGTCTTCAATTTAAGCTCTTTTTTAATTTTAATTACAATTAAAACTGAAAATATCTCCTCCATGAACTATTTTTTCTGGAGTCAGAAAGGGCTCTTAATTCTGACTTCTTTAAGAACTCTTTTTTTGAAGTCAGAAAAAAGAGCTCCTTAAGAACTCTCTCTATGAAGTCCTGATTCACTCTTTAGGTGGCGCATTGGACGTCCTCAAAACGTCTTGGAGACGTCATTTTGATCAAAATTCTGACGTCTAAATCTTAAATAAGAGTTCTTTGAGAACTGTAAAAGACGTCATATTGCTATCTGGGAAGTGTTTTTTTAGAGTTACTCCGAAATTTCTAGTTTGACCAATTAAAACTTAGAAATTCTTTATAAGGCTTAAAAAACTGCATAGAATGCCGCCAACCGCGTAAAATTCGGTTCATTCATTCAAAAGTTATTGCGGTTTGAAAATTCAAAAAATAGTGTTCTATGAAACTTCTATCAGATTTTTGAGTTCAAAGAGCGCAAAAGCACAGAAAAGGTATCTTTTTGAGCTCGGAGAGCTCAAAATAACACACAGATTGTATTTTTGAGCTCGACGAGCTCAAAAAAAACGGCCATGTATTAACGGAATTAGCGAGAAGTTGCAGAGATGGCGTTTAGGGTCAACCGTTTTCCTAATTATTTTAACAAATAATCATTTGTAAAAAATAGTTCATTTTCATCAAAACACAATATTAAATAACAAATTATAAAAATAATAAACCATCACACTTCGTCACGATGTAGATTTAGTTTATATGAATGATGAGATGTGATTCAACTTATCGGTCGTACGGCGTAGGGGTTAGTTATCGGTCTGGCAAGAGCGCGGCTCGGGTTCGAATCTCGGTTAGGGCAAATGTTATTTTCACTTTACTTCGATAATTAGTAAAAGTTAGGTCTAAACAAAGAGTCAAATTATCTAAAGGTGCGTTAGCTACATCAACATTAAAATAAAAAAATAACACTAAAAATTTTTTTTTATCATTTTTTATCAAATGGCATGGGCCAGACTTGAAAATTAACTATGGCCCAGTCCTGGTTACCAGGCATGGGCCGGGCTTGGAAGTTAACTGTGGCCCAACCCTGGTAACCAGGCTTAGGCCAGCGTCATCATTCCAGACTTAAACCAAGACTGAGCCAACTCTGGTTTACAAGCCTGGACCAGAGTTGTACAGAATTGGGCCAGGCCTGGGCCAAGCCTGGGCCCGCCATACTTTCCTACACGGAAAAAAATTCATTGTTGCTGCAACAGGAGGCAGTCATGTTGCAGCAACAGGATTTTTCTGCAGCTGCAACAGGAGGCAGCCATGTTACAACAACAGGAAAAAATACTGTTGCAACAACAGGATTACTATTGTTGTTGCGACTTGATAGTAATAAAATATAGTTGGGTCAATCAATGTCAAATCGACCAATGGTTGGAACCGACCCCTTTCGATTTGGATAAATTTTGTTCAGAAGTTTTCTTCTATCATACAACGAACTTCTACCAAAGGAAAAAAAATAAAAAAATTTTTTTCAAAAGATATGCAAATTCAAAATTTCGTGATTTTTCCAGTTTTTCAATTTTATTTTTGTTATATCTCTAACGCTATTACAGATACAGGAATGCCCTTTCGTTTGTTGAAAAGGGGACACTTGGGGCTACTGGAAAAAAAATATTTTGGAAAAATATTAAAAAAAATGCCAAATTTGTTAAATTTTGAAAAGCGTTAAAAATGACGATCGACATTAACATTTTGGCTCAATTTTTTTTGTATAATACCTTGTACTGGTCTTAAAAGATCCTGAAATTTTTAGAACTGTACTTTTTTTTTAAATATGAATTTTTGAATTTCAATAAAAAATTTTCTTTTGTTTTTCGCAACTTCTAAATGATGTAAAGTTATACAGATACATAGTATTGTAATTTTGAGCATTAAAAAGTTGAATGCACGACATGAAAATATTAAATAATAAAATAATTTTAACTTTTTTTTATTTTTTGGACGTAATCTTAAAATCAGGCTTAACGCATGATATAATTCGTTATTTGTCGTTTTTTTACTTCATTTAAAGTTGTCGACGCCACTTATCGTCTTATTAACATGGAAATGATTTGAAATTTGAGATTGAGCAACATTAATGTGCAGAAGTTTGTAAGTAAATAAGTACTCAAAAGAACGAAAAAAAATTGATATTTTCACCACATTATTTCTGATTGTTATTGGAAATTAACATCTGTTTGAGTTATTTAACGTTAAAAACTGTAATTGAAGTGAAAAAACGGAAAAAATATATCATGCGTTAAAAAAATAAGAAATTATATCATGTGTTAAGCCTGACGTTAAGATTACGTCCAACAAATAGAAAAAAAAGTTGAAATTAATTTATTATTTAATATTTCCACGTCGTGCATTTAACTTTTTAATGCTCAAAATTACAATATTATGTATCTGCATAACTTTACCTTATTTAGAAGTTGCAAAAAACAAAAAAAAATTTTTTTTTGAAATTAAAAAATTCATAGAAGGTGGGGCAAGACGGCCCACCTAAGCCGGTTTTTACTTTTCGTGGTTTTTTACTATCAAGTGGATTTACTCTGGTACAACTTTGACTCAATTCACCGGAATTTTTCCAAAGTTCCAAAAAAAATTTTTTTTTTTTCATGGCAAAGTTGTTTCTCACGTCAAAAATGTTTTTATTTTTCTCCTGGACAACTGCATTCACTTTTATATTACTCAGAAAAACTATTGTTAACATAATACCAATCGTTCCCGTACTTTTACAGAAAAAAAATTGAGTGTGTCTTAAGTTAATTGGGTCATTCCATGTCAAATCAATCAATAGTTGGAATCGACCCCTTTCAATTTAGACGAATTTTGGTCAGAAGTTTTCTTTTATCATGTAACGAAGTTCTGCCAAAGGAAAAAAAATAAGAAAATTTTTTTCAAAAGATGCAAACTCAAAATTTCGCGATTTTTCCAGTTTTTTCAATTTGTTTTTGTAATATCTCGAACGCTAGTATAGATACAGGAATGATCTTTCATTTGTTTGAAAGGGGACACTTGGAGCTATTGAAAAAAAAAATATTTTGGGAAAAAATTTTGAAAAATGCCAAATTTGTCAAATTTTGAATTTTTGAAAATCATCAAAAATGACGGTTGACAATAAATTTTTTATGTACTACCTTGTACCGATCTTAAAAGATCCTGAAATTTTTGGAACTGTGTTTTTTGTATTTTCAAAAATATGAATTTTTGAAATTTGTTAAAAAAATTTTTTTTTAATGTTTTTTCTCATCATTATGCCACTAAATGAAACTTCAGCTGTTCAAAATATTTAAAATTTACAAGGTAGTATACAAAAAAAAATGGGCAAAAAATTTATGGTCGACCGTTATTTTTGACGATTTTCAAAAATTCAAAATTTGACAAATTTGGCATTTTTCAAAATTTTTTCCCAAAATATTTTTATTTCAATAGCTCCAAATGTCCCCTTTCAAACAAACGAAAGACCATTCTATGTATCTATACTATCGTTCGAGATATTACAAAAACAAAATTGAAAAACTGGAAAAAAATTTTCCCAGTGTTTTTTCATCAAAAAGAAGCTTTTTACGGGGTGCCGCAAAAAATTTAATTTTTAACGACCACCATAACGCAGCTTGTCACGTCGATAGCGTCAACAATTTTTAAGCGATCCTAAATGAAACTCAACATTCTTTTTTTATAGACAATTACAAAGGTCAAGTTCAAATATGAATTCAATCGGTCAATTAGTTTAGAAATTGCAGCATTTTAAAATTTTGAAAATTTCATAACTCTCACTACTTCTTCTTTAAATAACTTTTGAACGCGTCAAGATATTCAATTTCTGAAAATGCAACTGAAAGCTGAGAAATTAAGCTTCAATTTACATGTTTTTCTAAATCAAAAAATGTCCATCTTCAAATCATTTTTAAGAAATTTTACTTTTGCAGTTGTTTTGTCGACAGAAATGAAATAAAATGAAATCTACTTCCATTTCGGATGCCGAATGGTCTTTTCATTTAGTATATTACACGCTTTTAAAGACCGAGCTCAATTTTAAATTCACTTATGGTAGTCTAAAGTTGTTAACAGGAGAAACTTTAAAAACAATTTTTTTTTTAGTCTGCATAAAACAATTTTGGGTTGTGAATAAACAAACAAAATTGTTATTTTCTAAATGTCGTTTGAACGAATTGGTCGAAAAAAAACTAATATATATTAATAAAGACAAAAGTAATAATTATGTCTCACTTCTTTTTCTTAAAAGCTCGTATCCGCAACATTTTGGTACTGAGAAACACACAATCAAAATAAGCACTGATAAAATAGTAACAATTCCGAATACTATTAATACAATTCCACTTAGAGGTCCAAATATTTCTTCGTAAAACATTTATTTATATTAAGTAATTATAAATATTTGCAATATCGAAAAATCATATCGACAGTTCATATCATGCGATGTATTACATGGAATGTAAATGACTGTAAAGTAGGTAAGATAATTCACTCATATAAATATTTTGACGGAAATAGTTGAAAACTTTTATTTCTTCAAATGTACTTAAACACTAAGTCTGTGATGACATATGGTTACAGCCTTAAGCTATAATCATTAACTTTTTTTTTACTTCAATACAATCTGTAAACATTTTAACTAAAATTTATTTTTAAAAAAATGAATGATTAAGTATCTTTATTCAATACAGTCTTCGATTATAAAATCAATGTAATACCTATAGAAATCGTTCATTTTGTACTAACTTTATGATATATCATAATGCTATTCATTATCGCATTAAAAAAATTTATGTAGGTTCTAGCATCGATCGCGCATGTATTAAAGGAGCTTCAGTTTAATTATTTTGATGCTTGTACTTATCAACAGATTCAACTTAATGATTATACTTCAATCAGATTATGATTGAAAAATTGGTAACATAAATATAAATATTCTATAAAACACAAATTCCACAATATAATGATTTGTTTATAATATATTCACTTGAGTTTTAAGTACGACTAATGTTACTTAACGAAAAACTACAACTGTCAAACTCAAGGTAATCTCGCAAACACAATTATGTATGTACAGATATACAATAAATGTATTAACAATCTACAGTTGTACGGGCGAGCCCACACCATTACACTTTATCGTTGTTAACTCACTGCCGACCAGATGCCAAGTGTTATAACTTAAAAGCAAACAGTTTTAATGTATCATACAGTATGCTCGATAAAATTATAACTATTTAGAGTCGTCAATAGTAAGAATATCAATTACTTAAAAATAGTATTATTCGAAAAAATATAATTTTATGAAATTTGACAAATTATGCACTAAAAAATTGAACTCGTATACATACTTTAATATTTTTACATTTTCTTAGAAAAACTATATGACTCAAAATAAAATAAATATTACTGTTTTGAATAAGACGTTCTTAAGTCTTCAAATTTTATAATTTTGAAAAATCACTTATTAATTACAACTCAAAATTTGTAAAGTCTATTGATCCAACTACAGAAATTACAATCCGACACTCGAAGATCCCCAAAGAGGGGACTACGATCAAAAAAAGGAGGCATTTTGAAAAAAATTTTTTTTTTTTATTAAAAAGGTGACAAAAATACATGAAATTCGGGCTTTTTTATTCCTAAGTCTGTCAAAAATCCAATTTTCAAAATTTTTTTTTTTGATCGTAGTCCACTCGGTGTATTCAAGTATACAGGTTAAAACCCGCCGAATTTTTTTGTTTCAGATAAGCCAATCAGCTGATATGGAGGAAGTGAGCGTCAATTTTTTTCATAGCGGGTGTCTTCAGACCACTATAACTTTAATTCTACTGAATGTTTTTAGCTAAAAATTTAACTGTATACTCTTGAAATATGTATGAATAAATGGTAAAAAGTTCAAAGTTCTATCTCTTCGTTGATCTTTACAAAAAAACATCCTAAAAAATGCTCAAAAATCAGGGCGTTAAACCAGAAGACCCCCTTAATATAACTTCCAAATTTTATGTCGAATCGTTTAGTAGGTAATAAAAAATATTTTTGTGATTAAGAAACTGCGTTGATATCTGCAAGTTCCATCAAAAACGATTGATTCGTTCAGAAGATACCGTAGTTAAAAATTTTGAATTAAGTATGTTCTTAATAACCACTATAGAATTTCGAGCTCGAAAAAGAATGAAAGTTGTGTTCTTAAGCTTGAAGAGCTCAAAACTTCGGAATAGATAATTTTTTGAGCGTTTTGTACATAGCTGGAAGTTTCAGGGATGGCCTGCAGGGTCAATAGTTTTCCAAATTTTTTTCTTTTATATGTAAGAGCAGTAGTTGTAAAGTTTATTTCGGGTTTTATTATTTTTAATTAATCCAACCTTTTCAATTTTACTATTTCAAATGGTAAAAATATTAAATTAATGTCAAGGTAGTGTACATGTATACTTATTGAGTTGTTCTTTTCTCTCCTTTTTCCTATTGCATATCTGACCACTCACTTCCGCTTTATAATTAGTCTCAACTTTTTTATCTTCGTTTGCATAAATTTCTATTGAAGTACACTATTTTTCAGTGATTTTCACTGTTTAATATATGACATAATATTCTTAAAAATTAATTTTTACAATACAATTCTGATATATTGTAATTATTTTTTATGATTATGAATTGTTAAGATCAATAGTAGCAATAGTAATTATATCAATTTTTACTTTCCAAAAAAAAATTGAAGCATATGCATTTTTTAATTCGGCAAAGCTATCAACCGTTATTGCACCAGCCATATTATCATGTATAATATAATATATTAATAGCTATATCATCATGTATAATAGATCTATTGAGGTAGTCGCAGGTAATCCTGTTTTATATCACCTTCACGCATCACGATGGGTAAATACAAAATACATTATTGACTGTTGTTTCAATTATATGGGGCCTGGAAACCATAAAAGTCCCCTGTTAGCATAAATGAAATCGAGTTGACGTAAGCCCGCGGCCGGAATAGGACGTAAAGTTTACGGAAACAGTAAGGCAACAATTGTACTTATAACTAGTTTACGTCAAGTTATCGTTAAGGTTACACCTAGGCTAGTAAAATAAGAAAAGTCTCAGATCACACACGAAAAAAAGAAAACAAGAATAATTACAGTATAAAATGTAAAATCGCCCCCGTCGTAATCAAAACTAGAAAAATTACAGTTTGAAATAACATTTTTCTAAATTCAATTTTTTAATTTAATTATCAGAGCTTTCAATGTAAATATTACATTTTACAATGTAATTCTTATAAAATCTGTAATAATTACAATCTGAAACTTTAATTTTTCCAGTTTTCATCACGAAGCGCCACGTTGCATTATATACTGTTATTTTTCGAGTTTTCTTTTTTCCGTGCATGTAATTGTTGGCCGCCCGGGAAAAAATGATCAGGACTGATCAGACCTGTTCATATCTGATCAGGCCTGAAATCCGACCTGATCAGGCCTGTTCATGTATGATCAGGCCTGAAATTAGGCCTGATCAGACCTGTCCATGTCTGTTCATGCCTGTTCATGTCTGAACCGTTAAATACGCTCAGACCTGATCAGGCCTGTTCATATATGATCAGGCCTGAAATTAGGCCTGATCAGACCTGTCCATGTCTGTTCATGCCTGTTCATGTCTGAACCGTTAAATACGCTCAGACCTGATCAGACCTGTCCATGCCTGTTCATGTCTGAAGCATTAAATAGACTTAGACCTGATCAGACCTGATCAAGCCTGTCCATGCCTGTTCATGCCTGTTCATGTCTGAAGCATTAAATACGCTCAGACCTGATCAAGCCTGTTCATGCCTGCTCATGTCTGAAGCATTAAATACGCTCAGACCTGTCCATGCCTGTTCATGTCTGAAGCGTTAAATACGCTCAGACCTGATCAGACCTTTCCATGTCTGATCATGTCTGTTCTAGTCTAATAGAAAAAGATTAAAACTCCATATATCAGCTGACAAGAACTGTTCATGCATGATTTGCCCTCTTAAATGATATTTTAAGTCTGGAAGAAAAATTTTATCGAACTATAGACTGCAGTTATATTTTTAAAATTAATTTGTTCCGTATGACGTATCAGTTTCTATCCCCTTAAAAATTTTAAATGTACAACTTTCATCAAAAATTTCAGCTTATATAAGCATGAACTTTTTAATTTTCCATCATGCCAAAACGATGATTTTTAACGATGAATTTTGACGCAATGACAAAATTTTTTACTGTGTTCCATTGAATACACGAAAAATAAGATTATTTAGTAAAAGTTTGAGTTTGATAGCGTTAAGATACCAAAATATATCAGTTGATATCGATGTCCTTTCAAGGTGTCTGTTATTATCTTAAGCTACGCCTTAGTCCATTGCAGTAGTGTCAAAGGCTGTTAAATTGTAGAACACACAAATAATTCTTCATTTCCTATACGTTTTAATTAAAAAAAACTTCAATTTTTAAAGAAAACAATAAAATTATAATTACGGAATAAACCTTGAAGAAATTTTTTTTTACTTTACATAGAACCATATGTTAATGGAGTGAAAAAAATACATAGCCGTCCCAAATAAATCACTCTAATATACACAGGTAAAAATTTTGCGTCATTGCGTCAAAAATCTTAGTGTTAAATATTTAACACTTTTATGTGTAAATTTAACACTTATTCTGTTAAATCAACACAAAAAAGTGTTAAATATTTAACATAAAAATTTTTAACACAAAAATTTTTGACGCTTTGACGCGAAATTTTTTACTGTGTATAATTAATTATTAATAATTAATAAATTAAGTATAGAACTCCGTTAACTATAAGGATAAGTCATGTATAAAATTAAAATTACTTCAAGTAGTTTGAAAGGTACACTAGAATTAAAATAAGTCATTGGGCCAATAGGTAAAGTATCAGTCTGAAGAGCTCAACGTACATGGTTCGAATCCCCGTCGGCACCAATCTTTTTTTTTTTTTATGGACCTAATCGAGTCAGGCACGAACAGATCGGATCAGACATGAACATGCCTGGCCAGGTCTGATCAGACCCGGTCATTTTTCATATCTGATCAGACCTGAAGACTCATGATGCCTGTTCATATCTGATCAGATCTGATCATTTTTTCCCGGACGGGGCGAAGTCGAGGTTGACAGACATGTGATCTGAGGCTTTCTTATTTACTGACCAAAGTCAGTATACTATTTTTCTGTTCGACGGAGCCAGAAAGCGGCAACTTCGTTTAGTGCAGTGGCCCGGAAGTCGGCGCTTTCTGGCCGGAGGACAGAAAAGACAATTTTCAACAAAATGCTTATTTCCAATAATAACTTTTAAACTGTTATTTCGATCTATTTCAAATCTAATCAGCTGTGAACTTAAAAAAACAACCGCAGTATATCATAAAATTTGAAGAACTGCACTGATAGAAGGATTTGTTTATAATTAAAAAGATTTGTTAATATTTAACAAATCATTTATTAAAAGCCATTTGTTAGTCCTTAACAAATATTTCTTAGTATTTAAAAAGATTTATTAATATTTAATAAATTAATATCAGATTTATTAAATACAAACAAATCATTTTAAATACTAAGAAATATTTTTTTAATACTACTAAAAAGTGGTCTCTAATAAATGATTTGTTAACTATTAACAAATATTATTTAATACAAATAAATCCTTCTATCAGTGTGCGTGGAATGCTGTCAACCTCGTGAAAATCGGTTCATTCATTCAGAAGTAATTGCAGTTTGCAAATTCAAAAAATACTGTTGTATTAAACTTCTATCAGACTTTTGAGCTTGAAGAGCTCAAAAGCTTAGAACAGCTAACCCTTTAAACTCGGAGAGCTCGAAATAACATATAAATTATATTTTTTATCTCGAAGACCTCAAAAACGTCATGAGTGCAATTTTAAGCGCTTAGATATGGAATTAGCGGGAAGTTGCAGGGATGGCTTTTAAGGTCAACCGTATTCCAGATTTTTTTTGTATGTTTGTATTGTCTTAGAAGCAGAGATTGGATGTTTAACTTGATTATTTAATTCGATTCCACTGCTAATTTGTTCACAAATTTTTTTTTTTGTTATTCAAAGAAGAGTCAGCCATGTAACCAAAAGCAACCCCGCACTGTATTTCCGTCCACCATGCCTTTGGAGCGTAGTTAAATCATCACCAGCATCAACTAATAATGTTGCAGAAGTTCTACGAAAAGCGTGACCAGTAAATCCTTACAAATTAGGCAAATTTAAATAAACTGCTATATCTTTTGCAACTTTAGGAATCATATTAACGACGATTTGTTGCTTGAAATATCTTCCGTTGGAATATTTTAAGAAAAATCTGTTTGTCTTACTAAGTTCTGGCATGCAATCTATATACTTGATATACACCTTATAAAATCCGCCTCTTATTGTGAATTATTGATTAAAGATTGTGATAAAAAAGTGTCAATGCTGGTTCGTAACTCAGAGGCTACTTTTAAATCCATCATTGATGGTATAAAAAATCAGATCGATACGGCATTATTTCGTATACCACCAGAAATACGCAAAATTACACTAGGTGAATTAGTTAATCTCGATAGAGATTCAGATGTAAGTCCAAATGAAGAGACTGTTAATAAAGAGCAAAAGCGTAATGTTACTGTACCACATTCATCAATAAAATCAAAAAAAATTCTTAAACGACAAACTGCAACATCTACCGATGACGGATATGCTACTGAATCAGGTGCAAAAAAGAAGTCTATTCGCCACGTATCAAGATTAGAGAGTACTGAATTAAAATCACATGCAAGTCGAGTTACCCGTAGTGGATCACGAAGTGAAACTCAAAAATTGGAACGATCGTCATCAGTATCTAGTGACAGAAATACTTCTAAAACAAGAACCGCTAAGAAAATGTTTACTCCTACTACTAAACAGCCTATGAAGAGTCGTGCCATTACTCCAAAAATTGAACCCAATACTCCAATGAATATTTTGCGTCGGCCTCGTGAAGGCGAAGTTGTTCTAAGTATGCAAGGAAGTCCATTATTAGTATCTGCTGTGCCTGAAGATCGTATGGCAAGTGTTAATGTTCCACTCCAAAATGGAAATATGATATCTCTTTTGCCTAAAGACGGAAGATTACGACTTTCTACTTTACCTGGATTGGACGAGGAATCAACAAAGCAGTTAAAAATATTGAAAGAACATCTTGAAAAAGTTATTGGAAATCAATAATCATATAAGGGTTTTATAAAGTTTAAAACATTCATAGTTTATAAGCTTTTACGGACTTGAATTTCAAATATTATTACTTTACGTAGGGTGAACAATTTATAACATCATTATTTGTTAGAAAGTAATCTCGACGATGACGCGTCAACTAAGCATTTTAAAATGTAATCATTTTTCACCAAGGTATTTATATTCTGTTGTTCGTTTTTTGACTGATGAATTTAACTATAGTGAGGAATTTGTGTAACAATAAAAAAAATTGGTTTTTTTTTCATCTATTTCTCTAAGAATCTTTAAAGTAAAAAATATAAATTAAAATGTAAGATCTAAATTTTACAATAGTAATAACAATGACAATAATTAATGTTAAAAAAAATTTTTTTATCTTTTATAATGTCATACCGAAACACTCCTAATAATACTTAATCCAAAATTAAAACTCGAAAGTCATTTTAAAAAAATGAAATGCTAGACAAATTGCAAGAAACTAAAAAATTTATTCAGCTAATTTTTTTTTGGTTAATTATAAAATGAATTTATTCTTTTCTTTTTCTTAACTTTCGAATTATCAGTTATGGATACGAAAGAACAAATATTTATGAATTATTTGTGTAAAGTCTGTATGTTTTTCGATCATAAGTTAATTAAGCACTTTTGTCGATTATATCATTTTGTAATTGTCCTACTAAAATATAAAATAAAAAAAGATTTATTTTTATAAAGAAAATGAAAAAAAAATATGTGAAAATGACAAATTGAAATCATAGTATAAAATTGGGTAAACACCCATTTTTTGTTTTCCGTGATAACTATAACTTATAGTTATAGTTTATTAAATTTTTTAAGAGACTATTCTGGTTTAGAAGGTTTGGAAAAAATCGATTTTTTTCATATATTTTCAGAGTTTAGACCATAAAAATGCTGTCATGAAGATATTTCGAAATTCTGGTTATTTTCAGAACTACAGTTATCAGATTATCGCTTACCACGTAGTGTTTTTTAGAAATTTTTTTAATACTATTTAAAAATAATTCCAAAAGTTGAATACAATAGGACAAAACCACAGCTTTTTTACACTGCTGTCATTTGGTGAAAATTTTTTTTTCCGAATGCGAGACCTCACTTTGCCAACATGCAGTTTTTGAAATTTGAAATTTTTTCTTTTTCATTATTGTACTTTTTTATATTGTTGAAGGATAAAATAATTGATAAAAAAATTTTTAATATTTTTCATAGCACCCGAAAAACACCTGAAATTCGGACGTCAGATAAAAATATATTAACAAAGAATTTTAATCAATGTGTTACATCTAGGTTTTACTATCATATTCGATCGGTTATCCAGTGAAGCAGGAGAGTATTAGTCAGTTTTTATAAGTAATTTTTTCAAATTATTTAAACCGCTTTTATCTAAACTTCATAAAACGTATAGAATTTCCCGTATCCTCGAAAATTTTTGAATGAAAAGTATGTAAAAAAAACTCTTCTATTGAAATGCAACGTTTTATAAAAATTTCAAGTCAACTCATTGACTAGTATACGATTTTTGTGGACATAAACATACGGAAGGTGAATTTTATCTATAAATGTTGATGTAGGTAGATAGTTCGCTATATATTCAATTTATTACTTGGTAATAATTTATTTTATTAAACTCTAATTAATATTGCTGATGTTTAATTGTAATTTTTTCCTGATAATTTGAAGACTTGTTCTTTCACTTTAAATTATTTATTGTAATATACCTTTAAAAAATTTATATTATTTAAGAATCGTTTATAATGAATAAGTTCATTATGGAAAGAAAAACCATGTAATATTCAGAGGAGATAGTACCATAGTGAAGCCGGCAAACATGTTGATTTGATGTTTCGCAGTAGGGCTTCTATAATCTTTTCACCACTTTCATTATTTAAGATTATTTGTAGAACGTTTTTTGGGAAAAAGAAATGAATTCATAAGCTAGTTTCATGACATGCAAGTGCACAGGAGGTATTAATTAAAAGAAGATATTACTCGAATTTTATAATTTACAATAATTTTTTTCCAGGCTAACTAGATTAATTGAACAGTCTTTCATCATTTTATTAAATTACAGTTGCAGAAGTAATTATATAAACATAGCGTTTTTTTTCTCCAATATTTTGAATCAATTATACACCATTTTCTTTTATGTGAACTATTTTAATGACATTTTTTTAATAATTTACGGTATATTAATTTTTTTTTTTGATAAGTGAAAATCGAAGTCGTAGTTACGAAGCAATCAATTGTTATTCATTAATATTATTTAGTATATTTCAATAATTCTGAACAAAGACAAAAAATTTTTTTTGAAATATAGTCAAGACATAGCGATTAGTTGAGGATCATGAATTTTTTGTTCATACAAATCATTAAAAAGAGAAAGTGTTGGTAAAATAGTCCTTTTGAAAAATTATTAATTTAACGAAAAAAAAAAAAAAAGTAATTTTACATAGAAAATTTAAAAACGCAAGGAAATCGTTAATAAAATTTTGTTACTATTTTTTTTATGAAAGATCGTTTCAAAACTTGATTGTCATATCTTGAGAATATTGACAAATTCGAGTTTCTATAGAATTACAGATCCTTAATCTAAATTTGTATTCTGTTTCTCGAAAATTTACGAACCATAGAGGAATAAATTAAGCATAAATACATAAGAGTTAATTAAAAAATACTCAAGTAGGAATTTTAAGTATTGAATGCCTTATTTATATTAATCCGTTTAACAGTTAAAAAAAGTTTACACACGTCCACACTCATGCACCCATGTATTTTTTATATAATTTAAACTGTTTAAAATCTTCCATAACGACTTTCTTAAATAAAAATGTTTTAATAAATGCTCAAATCTCTGAAAATTGATTAAATATGAATATATAAATATACTTTGGCAGAACAATTAAAACTTCAACTGTTATAATAGAATTATTACACATAACTATACTATTTTGTTCATGGTTTATCAATCAATACTTTTAAGATGTTACGCATATAATGGCTGAAAATGTAAAATAATAAAAGTTGTTAATCCAAATTATTGTTAAAAAAATTATTCAGTGTCTATTCCTAGAATTGGATTTATCTTGTTTTCATCATCTTCGTTTCTTAATTCCGCATCACTGTAGAGATCTTCTTCAGTTACGATTTGTTGTTCGGACAATTTATAATGAAATGCAGACCGTGTAAGATCAACTTCAACCGGAAATAAACTTGTGGTAGATAATAAACTTTGAGTTTTCGAATAATAACTTGATAGACTAGAAGCAAATTTTTGAAATTGCCAGACGATATCCTGAACATGTTTGTTATCTAGTAACTCTAATTTTACAAGAACATCTGATCTTTGTTTAGCAAACTTTAACCGAGCATCTTGTCGGCATCTTAAAACTAATCTATACTCGTAATTTCCTGTTTCAACACGATATAATGGTTCTTGAAGAGCGATGTAACTCTGTTCTTCGTCATCTAATTCTTTTACTTTTAGACAATAAGATAAATATTCAAACTTGGCGTCAGCATATTTGCTGATTGTTAACCGAGTATCTGGAATCACTTTATGAAGATAAGTCCCTAAATCACTTAAAATTGGTTTTAGCATCTTTAACATCAATTTTCCAAACTTTTCTATTTGCCTATGTTGCTCTCCAAATTTTCTGAATGCTTCACTGGCACGAGGTTGAGGTTCTCGCACTCCTATTGATACAAAAGCATCTCCGAATACTGAAAAAAAAAAAAAATTTTCATTACCTGACAAAAAAAGAATATGAAGATTGTATCTTATATTTTAAATGCTGAAAAACATGGCATTAGTTTAGAAAATGATATATTTTTGTGTGTATTTAGATCCAGTGCCAAATTTATACTAACTTATCAGATTCTTATTCAGTTCATATTCAATCAAAATAAATTTAGAATTCTCTACGTCTCTAGCGTAAGCACTAGAGAATTCGCCATTTGATTTTTTAATTCTTCGTCTTTAATTTACCGCCATTTAATTATGCGCTAATTTTCTCACGTAGAACCATTATGTTTTTCTGTACTTATTTTAAGCATACTTTACAATCCCGCTGCGCTGAACGAAGTTGGCGCTTTCTGCCTCCATCGAAGAGAAAAATAGTATCAACACCTTGAGCAGTAAACAAGAAAGCCCTAGGTATGTAATATACTATTAAAGTTTCGTCATGAAGACAGATGCAATAGTTAGATTTTGATAAAATTGACTAAAAACGGTTAACTCAGGAGACTATGCCTAAAACTTATCGATTTCTTTTTATGACTTTCAACTACATTATGAGTTTCAACTACTTTAAAATATATTTTCCTAAATGCATTATTTATAGCACAAAATATCTTCCGACCGAGTGAATCAATTTTGATCCGTTGTCGGCATCTGATGCGGTTTTTTTGAGAATATAATAGATTGGATTTTGGTATTGATTGATACAGCTTTTCAAATGTTATTCGACTAAATTTTTATTTAAAGTTTATTTTTGAAGTTCTTCAAAATGTATTCGATCGATTCATATTATTTATTAGCAGAGCCTGGAAGTTGGGGCAAAATATCGTTTCGCTCTCTTTTGTTTTATATGTTAATTTGCCCCAACTTCCAGGCTCTGTTTATTAGAAATTTTTGAAATAAATAAATATCGCGAGAAGAGCAAGAGAAAAAATTATAAATGAGACTGAGCTGTAATTTATGTTTGTGACTTTCACCAATTTCGTATTTTTAAAATGATTACAGTCCAAAAAAAATAATTTTAAACATATTTGATGGTTGCAAGTTGGTCAGTTCACTCAATCATTTTCTGGCTCATCATAATTTTTAGATTTAAATTTATATCGTATGCCTCTTGTAAAGCAAGATAGCTGCAATTAATCTATTAAAAAAAGAATCGAAAAAAATTGTAATAAAGGGTGCACGCAGAAATTGTCATGATCAAATGTTATTCTCACAATCTTAAAATGTACCTAAAAATAACGGTATTGATACATAACGATAAATTCTATCAAACTGGCTCGCAGGTTTTCCGTCTTTCCAATTCTGTTCATGTAAGCTAGCATGTATCAAATTCAGTATCATTTTAAAATAAAGTATTGAAATTTTACGAGTACCTTTGTGAATTTGTATCAGATCAAAAAATGCATGTAACATTGATTTAGCATGAGCTACTAGATCTTTATATAAACTTTCAGTGCGCTGTAAAGTAATAAGTTTTTGAACAAGAGCATCATTACACAGAATAGCTCTGGATAATCCAAGAGCATCAGCTGTTGCACTACCCATACTTTCCACTAAACGATGTTTAACCTGTAATTTTTATCTATTATTAGTTAGTTTATTAGATTGGTACATTAAAATTATTATTAGAAAAAACATACTCGATAAAAAAACTTACTTTTTTCAACGCTATGTCTAGCGTCCGTCCTTGACGAGGATCAGCATGAAGCTTGTTATAGTTGATGCTTACTTGATTTCCAGACGATTGAATCATAGCGGCAACGTCTTCTTTGGTTTTTCCTTTTACCGATATTCCATTAACAGAACATAATTCATCTCCTGACTGCAAAGTTCCTTCCAAAGCAGCAGGGGTATTATCAAATACTTGAACAATATATAAACAAGGGCAATATGGAGATCCACCACCAATACTGATACCTATCAAATTACTGGGATTTTTTCTTATGGTTACATTACCGGACGTAATTATCATACCCCTGTGAAATAAAATAAAATAATTACTTTTTTGTAATTTTGAGAAAAAAAATGTCAAGATTCAACTATATTAGACTAAGCGGCATCACGACAAAATACGCGCGTTCATGTAAAGAAGAGAACAAAATTTTTAACTTCCCGCTAAGAAAATTAAAAATTTTCGAAAATCGGGAAGTTATTGTTTTTACTCCGTTTTTCGAAAATCGAGTATTCATCAGATCTCGACGTTTTGAGGTCCTAGGAAGCTTTCCTGACTATTCCTGCGATGGCGTGTGTGTGTGTGTGTGTGTGTGTGTGTGTGTGTGTGTGTGTGTTTGAGCGCTTAAGTATGGAATTAGTGGGAAGTTGCAGGAATGGCCTTTAGGGTCAACCGTTTTCCTAATTTTTTTTCAAAAAACCATTGGAGATTTTTCTAGGAATAGTATATTACACACCTAGGGAAGTAAAGTAAGAAAGCTCGGCTTCGCCTCGGCCAACAATTACATGTGATCTGAGACATTTCTTACGTTACTTCCCTAGGGGTGTAATATACTATTTAGTTTTTTAACCATCTTTTAGTTTTCTGTGCCATACTTAGGTATTGAGTTATTAATGTTTGAATATTTAGTCTTTCAGAACATTTGTTCATACGTCTATCAGTGCAAATGAAAATTTCGGTATTCTACAATTCAATTTCGGAATGATGTGTGTGTATGCGTAGGTTGTATAAGCCTTATAATCGGAAAAAAGACCATCTAATTTTTCACTTAAAATGATTGATTTTTCATAATAACAAAAAAAGTATGATCCTCCTAGAAAGTAAGATAAGCCTATACGATTGAACATTAAAGTCACGGATGTCAATATTTTAGAATATTAGAAGTATGAAAAAAAAAATATAAATTGGTCCATTTAAAGCACAAGGATCCGGTCTCATAATAAATCTAATCAAAAATGTTTATTATTTCAATCAGAATATATAACTATAATTTTATAAGGATGAATTTTTCAATCTTCAAAGCTCGAAAAACAAAAAAGTATTCAACTAAATAACTTGTTTGAAAATCTACAATGAAAAAAATTGCATTAGTGTATGTTTTTCTAATTTTCTAGGAATGAATTATTTTTTATTGCCTTTCTTTAGTTGCGTTTTTTGTACTCTTTCAAAATCTCTTTATCTGTCCATACACTTATAAACAGAAGCCGATAATTATATGTACCTGAAGTTCCGAACGTTCATTTATGAACGAAAATCAAAAAAAAATTTTTTTTGCTCCTGAAACTGAAAATGGTTTTTCAGTTTCGAATAGAGACAGTGAGCCCTAAAAATGATATATTAGCTCCTCAAAACACAAAAACCACCCCTCCAGCCACCCCAAAAACTTACACTTGGAAAAAAAAATTTAAGATAAAATCCTTCAAAGGGCCTTTGTAACGATTTTTTCCGAATTTTTATATAATAAGGGTAAAACTTTGAAGTGGCTGGAGGGGTAGTTCCGGGGCAGCAAATGCCTTGGTGATTTTTTATATTGGGTGGGGGTATTGTATGAGTCTTATAAAAAATCGCCAGCTCCAAAGGGCCCTCGGAAGGATTTTTTCAGAATTTTTATATAATAAGGGTAAAACTTTGAAGTGGCTGGAGGGGTAGTTCCGGGGCAGCAAATGCCTCGGTGATTTTTTATATTGTGTGGAGGGGTTGTGGGAGTCCTACAAAAAATCGCCAGCTTCAAAGGGCCATTGTAACGATTTTTTCTGAATTTTTATATAATAAGAGTAAAACTTTGGGGTGGCTGGAGGGGTAGTTCAGGGGCAGCTAATGGCTTGGGGATTTTTTATATTGTGTGGGGGTATTAT